CTCTCTCTCTCTCTCTCTCTCTCTCTCTCTCTCTCTCTCTCTCGGTCGCTCGTGTTCTCTCTCTCTCTCTCTCTCTCTCTCTCGGTCGTTCGTGTGTGTGCGCGCGCCCCCTTGTGCAACCTCCTCCCCCTATCGCGACGTCCTCATCCTCCCTCACGACCCCCTCCCGCTCGTACGAAATCCTCCCCCTAGCACGACCTCCTCCTTCCCCTGCCGCATGACCTCTGCAGCTTCTCGTCCCCAGCATGCGATCTGCTCCTACCCCTCCCATGACCCACTCCTCCCCTTTGCACTGCGTCCTCCTCCCCCTTGTGTGACCTTCTCACACCTCTCTTCCGACCTCATCCAGCTCCTCCTCCTCCTTACACCACCTCCTCCTCTCGCTCATGTGTCCTCGTCCGGCCTCCTCAAACCACTCGCGCGACCTCCTCCAACTTCCCTTCCGACCTCCGCTGCAATCTCTCGTCCTCCTAGTGCGACCTGCTCCTCCCCTTCTTCCGATCTCCTCCTCTCCCTTGTGCCACCTCCTCTTCCCCCTTGTGCAACCTCTTGCTTGTCCTTGTGCGAACTGCTCCTCCCCCTCCCACTCCGTCTTCCGATCTCCTCCTCCCCCTTACGCCCTCCGCACGACCTCCTCCTCTCCCTTGTGCGACCTCTTCCTACCCCTCGTGCGACCCCCTCCTCCCGTGCGACTTCCTCCCTCTCTTCCGACCCTCCTTCCCTCGCGCGACCTCCTAATCCTTGTGCGACCTCCTCCTCCCCCTCACGCGTCCTCTTCCCCCTCATCCACCTCGCACGACCTCCTCCCACCTCTATTCCGACCTCCTCCCCCTTGTGCGACGTCCACTTCCCCTCGCACGACCTCCTCCTTGTGCGACCTCCTCCTCCCCCTCGTGCCACCTCCTCCAATCTGTCTTCCTACCTCCTCCCCCTTGTGCGATCTCGTCCTTCCCCTCTTCTGACCTCCTCGTCCCGCTTGCACAACCTCCTCCCGCTTGCACAACCTCCTCCTCCCACTCTCCGACGGCGGCCGAATAGTAGCATGCGAAAAAACACCCAGAAGGCTGGGATTAAAAAAAAAAAAAAAAAAAGAAGCGCCCCCCCCCCCCCCCCCCCCCCCCCCCCCCCCCCCCCCCCCCCCCCCCCCCCCCCCCCCCCCCCCCCCCCCCCCCCCCCCTCCTCCTCCTCCTCCTCCCCCGCCTCCCGCTCCTCCTCCGCCAAACAACGTGACAAAGATCCCGCCATAGCCCCGCTCCCGCTCGTTCTCCTGCTGCTCCCGCCTCTCCTCCTCCCTCTCCTTCTCCCGCTCTCCCTCCTGCTGCTTCTCCTTCTCCCGCTGCTTCCCCTGCTCTTTCCCCTGTTCCTCCTGCTCCTTCTCCCGCTCGTCCTTGTGCTCCGCCCGCTTCTCCCGGTCCACCTATATCTCCTCCGCCTCCTCGGCCTCCCGAAGATTTGTTAACCCCCTCCCAGTTTCCCCTCCCGCTCCTTCTACCGCCCCTCCTGCCGCGCCTCCTCCGCCCCTTCCCATTTTTCCTCATGCTCCTTCTCCCGCTCCTAACCCCCTCCCCGTTTCCTCTGCCGCTCCTCCTTCTCCAGCTCCTCCTCCCACGGCTCCACTGCCCCTTCGCATTTCCCGTCCCGCTCCTTCTCCCGCACCTGCTCCCGCTCCTCCCACTCCTTTTCCCGCTCCTTTTCCCATCCGTCCTCCCGCTCCTCCCGCTCCTCCCGCTCCTCGTCTCGCTCCTCCTCCTGCTCCTCCTCCGCCAAACAACGGGACAAAGATCCCGCCATAGCCATCTCCTATGAAAAAAACAAAAGAAAAAGTCCCCCCCACGTGGCTAGCCGAGAGAGAGAGAGAGAGAGAGAGAGAGAGAGAGAGAGAGAGAGAGAGAGAGAGAGAGAGAGAGAG